TTTTCTCACATATTGATTCTTCTCACATATTTGATTCTTCTCACATCGTTCTCTCACATATTTGATTCTTCTTCAACATATTTGATTCTTCTCACATATTTGATTCATTCTCATTTATGTGTTCTCATTTCCTCCTCGCAGGTCGCCAGGCAGATCAACATAGCCCAGTACCAGCACATGCTCTACAACGAGTTCGTCCCGACGCTGATCGGCTACTGGAAGGCCAAGGAGTACGGCTTGCTGCCCCAGAAGAACGGGTACTCGGATGTGAGTCTGTGGGCCTTGAGGGAGCGAGTGTTGTTGTTGTTATTATTATTATTATCGTTGCTGCTGTGTTTTTATTATTATTATTATCGTTGCTGTTGTTGTTTTTATTATCGTTTGTCAGGGTTTTTGTTTGCCCTGATTTGGTGGGTTTATGGAGACACAATTCTGGTTCAGCTGTTTCTTGATAGGAGGGGTAGGTAGCCTGGCGAGGGCTCTCTCGTGCTGGTGCAGTAGTGGGCAAGGTAGGTCAAAGGCGCGTCGAGCGGTAACGCGCGTGTGGGGGGGCGAGGCCCGAGGGGAGGTCTGGTCATGGCCGAGAGCCCTGGGCGAGTGTGCTGTCCCGGGTCAACTGTCGAGTAGGGTCTGGAACAGGTCTGGAGGTCCTAGTGTTGGAGACGCGGGGAGGTAACCCATGTCCCTCAGATCGTTGTTATCGTTATTATTATCATTGTTGTTGTTATCATTGTTGGTGTTATCGTTGTTATCGCTGTTGTTGTAATCGTTGTTGTTGTTGTTGTTGTTGTTGTTGTTATCGTTGTTGTTGTTATCGTTGTCGGTGTTATCGCTGTTGTTGTAATCGTTGTTGGTGTTGTTATCGTTGTTGTTGTTGTTATCGTATTATCGTTGTTATTAGTCGTTATTAGTATCGCTGGTATTGTTCTTTCCCCTCCACCCCAGCGCTACGACAGCCGCGTGAACCCCGGCGTCCTGAACGAGTTCGCGACGGCCGCCTTCCGCCTCGGCCACACCATGATCCCCGACGACTTCCGGATGCTGGACAAGGACTACGCGCCCGTCTCCTCCTTCCCGCTCGTCGAGACCTTCCACAACACGAGCATGGTGTTTCGGTGAGTGGAGCGGGGGTAGGGGAGTGGGAGGGGGTTGGGTGAGTGGGAGGGGGTAGGGTTAGTGGAGGGGGTAGGGTTGAGTGGGGGGGGGTTGGGTGAGTGGGAAGGGGTAAGGTTGAGTGGGAAGGGGTTGGGTTGAGTGGGAAGGGGTTGGGAGGTGGGTGAGAGTGGGAGGGGGTAGGGTGAGTGGGAAGTTCATTCTGAATCACAGGGTTTTCAATTTATCGATCAAAACATGGCCTTTACCTGTGTCACTTAATTTGAATGCATTTTATCTCACTATGTATAGAAAGCCATTATCATTGCCGATTTGTTTTATATTATAAGCAAGCCTTGATTAAAAGACTTACTTTTGAAACCACAAGGTTTTCTCGTCACACGAAAGTATTTATTATTTCCACGACAAAATCATGCATCAGTGGTCAGCAGATTCCGTCATCTTGAGATTTAAATTTTTCCGGGACCAGGTGTTGAGATTATGATTTTATGAAGCCAACTTGTGTGTGTATATAGTGTAGTTCGTTCTACAGATGTGAAATCCTGTTCGTTTTGTGAACTGTTCTTGAAACCTGTATATTCATAATACTACTTCTGTTGGCTCTTTCACTAAACTTACTTGTGTATAAATGGTGTATATTCACTATACTCTAGCAACGTGTGTATCATGTAACTATCAATATACTGTTCTTGTAACGTGTATAGTGTATCCATTACTCACCTCTTCTCGTGGCATATAGGCTATATTTTCATGTTTAGAATAATGGCAATTTGCTGACAATTGGCTGACTCCTTGACTTGTAACCGTAAAACCTAACTAACCAAAACTATCAACCTTTGAATCGTATTCATGTTGACAAATGTAGAAAAGGTACGAATGAGAATGGATATCTTCACAATACAAAAGATGTATTTGACCGACAGAAATACATCTATTTCTGACGAAGACAGAATCGAAACCGGTCAAACACATCTCTTGCATTGTGAAGATATCCATTCTCATTCATACCTTTTCTACATACTATCAACCTCTCTCTTCCGTGCTGCTACCACTACAGATGGAGTCCGGCGACTACCTGGTTCGCGGGATGGTAGGAACCAGGTTGAAGCCGATCGACCTGAAGCTCGTGGACATCACCCTCGACAGACTCTTCGAGAAATTAGGAGTTCCTCATTCGGGCGAAGATCTGTTTGCTAGGAACGTAGCGAGAGGTAATGAAGACTACATTTTGTTTTTTTTTACTTTTTGTTTAAAGGTTAATGAATGGAGGAGGATTTGTTTTGTGAATGTTGGCATTTCGATTGACATCTCAAGTGGTGGGAAGGTGTTTTGATAATTTGGCATCAATCGTTGGCATGAAAGTCGATGCATAAACGTTTATAAAGTAAGACCAGTATAAACGTTGGTGAGTGAGTGCCTGCTGCATGAGCGTTGGTGAGTGATGAACCGTCTGCTGCACGAGCGTTTGTGACATCCTGCAGTAAAAAAGTTCACAATCAGACCACCTTAATACTGCCTTCTCAACTCCTTCGCAGGCAGAGACCACGGCATTGCATCATACACCACATATCGACAGTTCTGCGGTCTGGGACAAGCCGCGAACTTTGACGACCTGAGAAACGCCATGCCCGACGAAGCTATAGAGAGCTTTCGGCAGGTCTACGCCAGTGTGCACGATATTGACCTCTATGTCGGCGGTCTGGTGAGCAATATTATTTTCGGCTGATTTGTAAAAGGGAGAAGACACGTGTAGATCAGACGTTTTCATGACCAATGACATGATTAAACGAGATTTTAGTAGATAAAACTTACCCAGGTTTAAGACTTGGGTCAAAGCTTGCCTGGGCCAAAGCTTTGCCTGGGCCAAAGCTTGCCTAGATGTTAGACATTTTCTAACATCACTAACATGATTAGGAATGAAATGTCCAAGTAATCTTATTTCCACAGGCAGAGAAGGTGTTGCCCGGGGCTCTGGTGGGCCCGACGCTCGCCTGCATCATCGCCTTCCAGTTTCTCAACAGTAAACGTGGAGATAGATTTTGGTAAATAACGTAAATACCATAATACGGTCCATATATAGTAATGATATCTCTCGGTCGTATATAGTTTTTCTTCCTGTCACTTTTTTTTTCTTTTTCTCTGATACATGTAATGTGTATTATGTAATTATATATGTATGTATGCAACTCCAGTTACTCTTAATCGCCACGCTCACCTTATTACCAGACCGATCATGATAGGTGCTCTTGTCAATAATTTCGATAATTCCATTTAACAAAGCATTACAACGCCAATCTTTTTTCAGGTACGAAAATAAGGAAGCTGGGTTCAGCTACGTGCAGCTTCACGCCATCCGCAGCACAGCTTCCTTCGCTAATATAATGTGCGAAAATATGGCTGAGAATTTCGACCACAGCATACCACCCCAAGCGCTGCGTCTGCCGTGCAACCGAAAGTAATTTTTTTGTTTTTTGTCGGTGAAAATTGTCGTTTTGTTGTCAAAAGTTGTATTTATGTATTACTTATTTTATTGATTGATTGATATATAACGTACAGTCTCTTCCAATTGCAAGTTTATCCCTCACTTTTGCAAAGGGGTTCGAAGCCCGTGTTAAAATGGCGGTTCACAGAACGGCATTTCACAGAACGGCATTTCACAGAACGGCATTTCACAGAACGGCATTTCACAGAACGGCATTTCACAGAACGGCATTTCACAGAACGGCGAGCTTGCAAATGGAGAGGACCATGCATAGCCTCAAGATTTCACGGCCATGTAACGAGTACTTTTTCTCGAGTGCATTGGTACACTATGTAGGCCGAGTCAATCATATTTATTGTCCACTCATTATAGGGCACTTTACTATGTTCATTATTTCACGTACTCTAATACATTGGTGTAGAGTAATCGCAATCGGCCAATTTGTTAAAATTGTGCCGGGTCTGACCCAATGAATTTTCCTAAATACTGACGCAGAAATAAAGGCATAAATGTCTCTATATGATAGATATACATTTAACTATCTATTTGCCCAGTTGATATGCATGTCTAGACTGATGAATATGCATTTATTTCTTTATTTATGCATGTCAGGTATACGAATATTCGCACAATTCTTAACAAACCGGCAGTATGTCTTTTTGTTTTCTTTCCTGGAGTTTTCGGGATTTTTTTTTCTGAAGCTATTATCATGGGGGTTATTATTTATGTTAGTATTATATGAACAAAGTTAATTGTAATGAAAAGAACGTATCCGAATGTCAAGGAAAAGGGTGGACAGGTAGGCTAAGAAAAATGATTGACCTCTTGGTGACTGCGTATTTGTGGAGCCATCTGTTGTAAAGGCAAGGTATGTATTTTTGCGATTTCAACAACTTCGGTTTGTAAGTTGAGCTGGTAACATTGTTGGATGTTAACCCAAGTGACTACTAACTTCTGTCACAGAATGTAGGGGTTTTACTTTTACCATTAAAGTACAGTATATCAGTTCGTTATACAGTTCGAGTACTTTTTAAGATGTTCCAGTGTTTCTTTCATTTCCACGCGTTCGAACACCGCTGATTCGCATCGACTTCACCGTATTTACAAACTATTCCCTCTACTTTTTTATACGGTTCTACATCGCCGAACCTCTGATTCATCTTTCACGAATCCCGCTAAACTGAACTAAAATCGAGAGAAAAATGTACTCTCAACTCTTTCCCATTTGATTAAGGTGTTAGTACCTTATGAACTTTTGATGTCTAGCACATTTGCCATACCTATCAACCATTAGCCATTAAGTAAGGTGTTACTTGGCTGAATCTCTAAAACCACTTACCAACCATTAGCCATTAAGTAAGGTGTTACTTGGCTGAATCTCTGAAACCACTTACAAACCATTAGCCATTAAGTAAGGTGTTACTTCACTGAATCTCTAAAACCATCTTCTACAGGAATCCCCTCATACCGTGTAGCCGTCTGCACAAGCTGGACCTGAACCTGTGGGCCGAAAAACCCACGTTTCTGCCCAAACCGTGCACCTATATGAGCACCGTGTACCGTCCAGGGGCTCCCGTGTCAGTGTCGCCCTGTCTCGCCTGCGTCTGTCATGCGGACGGCAAGGTGGGTGGAGAGAGGGGGGCTTGGCGAGTCTCTAATTTGGTTTGTTTAATGTTAT